TCTTTCCAAGAATCAGTTTAGAGACCTGAGCTAGACAGCCCTGTGAGGTCACCTCACCCACTCCCATGCCTGGGAGCAGAACTCCACCTCACACACAAGCTCAGATTTCCGTCTCCATGGCTCCAGAAAAGGACACTCCACGGTTGTCGCTCACCCACCCATTCTTAGAAAACTCTTTCAGGAAGTTCTTCTTAAAATCTGACCTCAAGCCCTCAAGCTGTGGCGCCATCCCTTGGTCTTGGAAAAGAACCAGATGTAAAAAGGGTGACAAAAGAAATGCCGAAGACTCAGGGTAAGGGGAGAAGACAGGATTGCATTACACTCCGACTTTCCCCAAACTCCCTCTGAAAGTGCCCAACTGTCCAGTTCGAGCCTCTGAAACTTATTTACACTCGCCCCGTTCCCCGAGTCCAGGGGGCTGAATCCGCGGTCTCCCACGGGAGCCAGGAGGTGGGGCCGAGTGCAGTGAGGACGCGAGCTGAGGACGATCCCGCCCAAGCCGCAGTCCCGGCCCAGGCCCGAAGGAAGCCTGGGGTCCCAGTCCAGCACGGTCTCGCCTCCCTCCTCGATCACGCCCGAAGCTCAAGGCCCTCACCCCGAACTGTTAAGTCACACCCCGCGCCCCACTCTTCGTCGTCCTGTCCTCAGCCCTCCCTGCCCCCCTCCGCTGCTCAGACGGACATGAACTAACTCACCTCCCAGTCGGCGCCTCTGGGATCTCCGAGACTGGGGGGCGGGGGCGTGAGGGGAGATGGCTCGCTGCTTAGGGACGAGGGGACCCCATTCCTCGCCAGGGGGTCCCACGCCCAGCCGGGCACCCCTTCCTGGCTCCTACCCGGCGCAGAGCCCGGCTCTCCCCCCATCGCGGCTGCGGGCTTTGTCTGCTCTGCCGAGAACCTCTCCCCGCGGCCCAGAGCCGGGATCGACGCTGGGAGCGCGGGAGGGGGAGCGGAGAGGGTGCGCGGCAGGGAGGGGAGGAAGCGAGAGAGAAAGCCGCAGTGACCGAGCGGGGACCGCTCCCGCCCCCCCTCATTACCATAAGAAAGAGGGC